TTTGAAGCAGTGAGGGGGCAACCTGTTTTGGCAGAAGTGCCATAAATTAAGCCCTACATCCACCCCAAGTGTCATTCTGATCTCCTGCCCATGCTCAATTTGCTGCTCCCTGCCTGATCTGCTGTTCTGCTTTCTACTCCCTAGCCTATCTCCCATTGTGCTGCCTGCTCCCTCCCTAATCTTCCATGTGCCACAAGCTGCTTGTGCTACATGTGCTATCGGCTGGCCACCCTCACTCTAAAAAATGTGGGAAACTAAACTTAAATTGTTGGATCTGGGTTAGGGTCAGAGGGAACAGCAACAAGGGTGATATCATAGTGGGGGTCTGCTATAGACCACCAGACCAGGAGGAAGTGGTGCATGAGGCTTTCTTCAAACAGCTAATGGAGGCCCTGGTTCTCACAGAGGAATTCAATCACCCTGACATCTACTGCGAGGGCAATACAGCAGCGCGCAGGCAATCCAGGAAGTCACTGGAGAGGTTTTGGGGGCAACTTCCTGGTGCACATGCTGGAGCAGCCAACTAAAGGATGTGCTCTTTTTGACCTGCTGCTCACAAACAGGGAAGAATTGATGGGGAATGTAGTAGTGGATGGCAACTTGGGCAGCAGTGAACACGAGTAGAGTTCAGGATCCTGAGGAAAGGAAGGATGAAGAGTAGCAAAGTAAGGACCCTGGACTTCAAGAAAGCAGACTTTGACTCACTCAGGGTGGAGTGGGCAGGATCCTCTGGGAAGCCAATCTGGAGGACAGAGGAATCCAGGAGAGCTGGCTGTACTTCAAAGAAGCCTTACTGAGAGTGCAGGAACAAGCCATCCCAATATGCAAGAAGACTAGCAAGTACAGCAGAAGACTAGCTGGGCTTAGCAGAGAACTCTTCAGTAAATGAAATCACAAAAAGGAAACTTATAAGAAGTGGAATCTTGGACAAATAACTAGGAAAGAATATAAGAGGATTACTCGGGCATGCAGGGATGAAGTCAGGAAGGTCACTGCACAACTGGAGTTGCAGCTAGTAAGGGATGTGAAGGGTAACAAGAAGGGTTTCTACAAGTATGTGGGTAGCAAAGAGGAGGATCAGGGAAAGTGTGGGTCCCTTACTGAATGGGGGAGGTAATCTTGTGACAGAGGATGCTGAAGAAACGCTGAAGTGCTCAATGTCTTTTTTGCCTCAGTCTTCACAAGCAAGGTCAGCTCCCTGACTACTGCACCAGCAAGCACAGTTTGGGGATGAGGTGGTGAAAGAACAGGTTAGGGACTACTTAGAAAAGCTGGACGTGTACGAATTCATGGGTCCAGATGGGATGCACCCAAGGGTGCTGAGGAAGTTAGCTGATGTGCTTGCAGAGCCATTGGCCATCATCTTTGAAAACTCATGGCAATCAGAAGAGGACCCGGATGATTGGAAAGGGGTAGACATAGTGCTGATATTTCATAAAGGGAAGAAGGAGGATCCAGAGAACTACCGAGCAGTCAGCCTCACCTCAGTCCCTTGAAAACCATGGAGCGGGTCCTCCAGGAATTCATTTCTAAGCACTTGGAGGAGACAAAGGTGATTAGGAACAGTCAGCATGGGGTTCACCAGGGGCAAATCATACCTGACCAACCTGACTGACTTTTATGATGAGGTGACTGGCTCTTTGGATGTGGGGAGACTGGTGAATGTGGTGTACCTTGATTTTAGCAAGGATTTTGATAGTGTCCCACAGCATTCTCACAGGCAAGCTAAGGAAGTATGGGTTGGATGAATGAACTGTAAGGTGGATACAAAACTGGCTGGAGCATCAGGCTCAGAGGGTAGTAATCAATGGCCCAACGTCTAGCTGGCAGCTGGTATCAAGTGGAGTGCCCCAGAGATCAATCCTGGGGCCCGTTTTGTTCAATAGCTTCATCAATGACCTGGAAGATGACACAGAATGCACCCTCAGCAAGTTTTCAGATGGCACAAAGTTGGGGAGAGTAGTAGATACACTGGAGGGGATAGGATTCAGAGTGACCTAGACACATTGGAGGACTGGGCCAAAAGAAATTTCATGAGGTTCAACAAGGACAAGTGCAAAGTCCTGCACTTAGGACAGAATAATCCCATGTACCAGTATAGGCTGGGCACTGACTGGCTGGGCAGCAGCTCTGTACAAAAGGAGCTGTGGGTTACAGTGGACAATAAGCTGAATATGAGCCTGCAGTGTGCCCTTGTTGCCAAGAAGGCTAATGGCATACCGGGTTGCATGGCTAGGTGTGTTGCCAGTAGGCCAAGGGAAGTGATTATTCCTCTCTATTTAGCACTGGTGAGGCCACATCTGGAGTACTGTGTTCTGTTTGGGCCCCCCACTACAAAATGATGTGGACAAATTGAAGACAGAGGGCAACAAAAATGGTGAGGGGGCTAAGGAGATATGACGTCTGAGGAAAGACTGAGGGAACTGGGCTTATTTAGTCTAGAGAAGAAAAGACAGAGGGAATTTAATAGCAGCCTTCAACTATGTGAAGGGGGATTTGAAAGAAGAGGGAGCTAAACTGGTCTCAGTGATGGCAGATGACAGAACAAGGAGCAATGGTCTCAAGTTCCAGCATGGGAATTTTAGGAAGCATTTTCTCACTAGGAGGATAGTAAAACCCTGAAGCAGGTGGAAAGTGGAAGCTCCTTCCTTGGAGGTTTTCAAAACACAGCTAGACAAAGCTTTGGCTGGGATGATCTAGTTGGGGATGGTCCTGGTTTGAGCAGGGGGCCGGACTAGATGTCCTCCTGAGGTCCCTTCCAACCCTAACTTTCTATGATTCTAAGAGCATAAGGAAGTAATATAAAGGCTGTATAAGGTTACAAAGAGAGATGAAATGGAAATTAATGTAGAGAAGAGCAAAGTAATGACCACATCTACCAGAAGCAATGATTATGCACCAGTAAAAATTGGTAATGAAAAGCTAGAAAGAGTAACACACTTCAAATATCTTGGAGCAACCATCACCGGAGTTGCTACATCAGAATAAGAAGTAAAAACATGAATACCCATCACCATTGGACACCTAAGAAAGCTGAAGAAAATCTGTACTAGCAGCAACATCACAATGAAAACAAAACTCCACCTGCTGTATGCTGTTATAATTTCAACAACTCTCTACGGCTGCAAGACCTGGACACTCGCTAGGAAGAGTGGATTGAGAGTGGATTGAGACCTTTGAAATGTGTTGCTTCAGAAGATTTCTACATATACTCTACACTGCACAAAGAACAAATCAATCTGAAAGATCAAATCGACAAGAAATTGGCAAATATAATTTACTCAAAATCATAAGAAGATCCAGTGGTTTGGATATGTACCATGAAAGCCCAGCACCCTTACCAATACCATCCGGCAGGGTGCTGTGGACAGACAAAGAGGAGGAGGAAGACCTAAGACAACCTGGACCACCAACATCAAAGACTAGACAGGATTAAAATGGATTAAAATGGATTGATTTTACAAGGATTGCAAAAGACCAGGAAGACTGGAAGAAAGTTACTGCTACAAATGTGCCACAAATGTTGGTGCAACCTGCAGAGGTAGTGACCCACTCAGATCTCAGCAACTGTAGCTATATTGAACAAGGTGGGTCCAATATCCTAGAATTTAACACCACATGGGCATTGCAAAGAATGGAGTAACTACGTTTGAAGACAATACCCTGGAAGAATAAAGACGCATTTCAAGAAGCAAAAACAGATGGAAAAGAAAGCTGTATTGATCCATAAACACTTTCAGCTCACAACTTCTGTATCCCAGGATATTGTACAGGCTACAAAAAAAGAAGATTCTAACCCAGACTCTAACAGCTACAAGGTGCTATCACCTTGCTGTACATGCCATGAGCAAGTGATCATACCTTAACTGTTCCAAACAGCTCATCCTTTATGTGTCCTCCTCCAAATTCTTTTTTCACTGTTGCTCTGGTTGCTGCATACAGCATCTTCAGCCTAACCTGAACAAACAGAGAGTAAGCAAAATATATTCATTGGTAGACAGAAAATGTAATGTGCTTGGAAAGCACATTCCTCCCTCTGATAATTCAAGAACAGCAGTCTTATTGCCCTTTGGCAGTTGCAGTGCTAGACTTCTATATTATGTAGTGTTGCAAATCATCTGAAAAGAGAAAAACCACACTCATTAACAGACACTCAGTGTTTGTCATCAAGTACATTATCCCAGATTCATAATATCATTTATAATTCTAAAATACTGTCCTGTCAGTCATGGGATTCACTTCATAGAACTGTAGACCTCCAGTAAATTATTCGATCAATACAATATCAGTAACTTTATTGGCATGGTAAAACCTAAATATGTGTCTCCTTTATTATGATTTTGTTATGTAAACATGAACCATTTTTAACTAGTGCTCCAAACAGAAGAATTAAAGATTTCTAGCAGTTGGATCCCAGTCTATAAACTGACTTCTCACTGCTAAAAAAAATCATCAGGAGAAATCTGTCATTGAATCTGTTTAATTCCATTGTTTCTAGCTTTGTTGCTGATTTTAGAATTTATTAGATATATATGCTGTCCTTCCCAAAAGGCACAGAGCAGGTTAAAATAAAAGACAAAAAACTTTATAAAAACAGAGTATTAAAACAAGAAAGTATGAATTAAACCCTCCAAATTAAAAAACAATCTACTGCACCCCACTCTACCCATTCCGGCTCCCATCTCAACTAGTATAGCACTCCTCCCTTACCCCTGTACAAACCAACCTTACTTCTCACCCCTATAAACAGAAAAAAGGAGGATGAGTCCTCCCATCCCTACCCACATCCATCCCCTTATCTCACACTCAGAGGAGTCCACTTCCTCACCTCCTTTACTATTCCTTCCCAAGCCTGTAAGTCCTTCTCTCACAGCAGGACCATGGCTGTCCTCAAAACCCACTCATTCTCTTTTCCCCAATACTTCATTCTCTTTTCCCCCAAAAAACACATTATTCAACTTAAATATTAACAACAAGCTATAACCCTGCTGATGTTATCTGTGTTCTATGCAACAACTTTTGTAAAACACTTACCTATTGATAGCACATATCTATTGATATACAGCAGGGGAGTCAAATATACAGCCCATTGGACAGATCTAGCCCACGAAGCCATATGATCTGGCTCATGGGTCGCTGGACTGACCCCACACACTGGCTCTCAGCTGCATGTGCTACACATAGTGCATAGGCTGTATCTGGAGCTATGCTCCCTGCATGCACCATAGGGGGCTGATGGTGGGGCACATGCTGCATGCAGACCTCACCAGACCATCCCTGCATGTGGATCGTACCAGATCCAGTACACAGGGTCAATCCAGGAGAGAGCTACCTGCAGAGTACACCCCAGCCGCACCCCTCCCCTTCTCCCCCATGCTGCATGCAGTGTGCATGATAAATCCAGTCCCATACACAGCAAACATCAACCTCAGAGCTCATTGTGCATGAGGCACTTAAGGTTGACACAGGGTGTACACTGCTTGTAGTGCATGGGCTGAACCCTGTGCTGCACCTGGGACTGGGGTTTTGGGACATGGGATGCATGCACTGCCCTGGACTGATCACTTATGCTGCCTATAGTGCTGGGTCCAGCCTATGTACCATGGGCACCACATGCCTGGCATGCTGGGTGCACAATGAGCCCCAGGACCAGCATGTACTGCACATACTGTGTGTGGTCCATGGGCTAGATAGACCTGGTGTCATAGGTGCTGCACCAGTACTTGGTCCTTGTCCAGCCCACAAGGCCGGATGATTTTGACACCTGTGTGTATAGGGTTGGAAAACTGGGAACAAGTTTGTGTCTTGTTTTAACAGTATTGATGTAAAAATGTTTGAATGTAAGGGACCCCATGCACTGGCCCTCCCCTACACTGTGTGCACTGGCCTTTCCTTATAAAATGGTAAGGTTTAAGAGCACCAGTACTGTAAGAGAAAACTGGACAGAAGTCACTGGGGGTCAGGACTCACCATGACTAATCAGACCTTCTGATCTGAGGTGGAGGGACCCTCAGATCAGACACAGCAGAACAGGCTTAGGTGGACCCCCACTCAGAATGGAATTGCAGTCTGTCATCAAGCCTCAGAGGGAAAAATACCTGGGATATACAAATCTCTGTAGTAGGTTCAAGTTGAGATATGCTACCCATTTGTTTCTTAAAGAGCTAAAATCCTTGAAATATCTTTGGGGGCTGTTCCTTAAAGTGGGACATAGACTCACAGGGCTGATTCTAGGGCTGGAATGGACCTCTGGAGGCTGTCTGGTCCAACTCTCTACTCAAGGCAAGATGACCCTCATCCAAACCATCCCATACATGTCCTTGTCTAGCCTATTCTTAAAACTATACAATCAATGCTGTTGCACTGCTACAAGGTATAGTGTCCAAAGACGCCAAAAGCACCATAACCTACCCCAGGTAAAGGGACAAGGGTCATTACTGTCCCACTGCTGTGATGTTAAAATGCACCCGAGAGATCCAAATAAAAGGGCAATGTCTCCCACCCCCAACTACAGAGGAAGTCAAAAAGCCCTACAGTCCATACCAATCTGACCCTAGGGTAAAATTCCTTCCTGATCTCAAATGTGGTGATTGGTCTGACACTGACCAGAGGGACAAGACCCTGTAACCAGGAACTTCTGGGTTTTTAGTCCCAGCAGGAGCTCTGGCACACCCCAGTCAAAATCCCCAGCCTTGGCTATAGCCAATACACAATGCTTCTGAAAAACACAAAAGAAACTTTCGACAATTGTAGTTGGGGGGGGAGGAGAGTCGTTCGCCCTACATGGCAACCAGCAAGCATGACTCAACACATCACACACTAGCTGGACTGCCAGAGCTCCCCTTTCTGTAACCTCTCCAAAAATCTATCCCAGCTGCTTTCATCTTCTTTCATAACTAAGTTAGTTGTGGAGCTCTGCTTCACCCTCTTGCTGCTGAGCATGGTCTTCTTCAATATCCACCTGCTCAGGCCTGCAGAGCTCTTCTCATTGTCATCTCTCAGCAATCCATGTGTGTGCTCCTAGATCATCCTTGTCTAACACTTATCCAGCCTCTATTTGAAAACCTGAAATGATGGAGATTCCACAACTTCGCTAGGCAGCCTATTCCACTACCTCACTGTTTTAACAGTGAATAAGTTTTTCCTGATTTCTAGCCTAAATCTACTTTGCTGAAACATCAAAACACTGGTACACATCCTGCTCTCTGCAGGAACAGAGAAGGATGCTGTTCTTTATAGCAGCCTTTCAGATATTCGAAGACTATTATCATGTCTCCCTTTTGAGGCCTGTAGTCAACGGATCAAGAGAGCTGAAATCCTCGAGCTTGATTAAGGTCTAAAAGTGCTAGGTTGCATCAGCAACCCCCCATGAAAGTGAAAAGAGGCACTAGCAGTGGTGAGGAGCAGAAAGCCCCAGTGGCAGAGGCAAGAGAAAAGATTTGGGTTAGCAGTTACACTTGCCCCACTCCACTAGATACCAAATTCACTCTGTGTGCAACAAGGAGAGAATATTCACTGATTGTAATAAAAACTATTAATACCTGGTGGATGTGGTTGCTAAATGTTAAGGTTCTCCCCCATTACTCCTCCCTGGTTGTTTGGTTTTGTCCTAATTTCCCCCCTTTCATTCATTACTGCTTGTGAGTGGTGGAGTTTGTTTACGCTGAAACACACAGGTAGCACTTCTTTTCCCAGATGTCTGGATGGGGGCTTGAACCAAGATGTGTATAAAGCCCCTAAATTTGAACCTGCCTAGCAGAAGGATTACAAAGCAATACAATAAAACCCCCTTTTTCTCATCTCTGTCTCTGACAAAGGGAAGCACTAAAGGGCATTTGCTCCAGGGCACTCTACAAAGCACATAAGCTAACTAGAACCTTTCCCTTTCCAGATTAGATGACCGTGTGCTGCCTGCTCAGTGTCCCAGTCCTTCTCTACTCTAGGCTTAGCCCCCCAAGAGTGGAGTGGAGGGAGCAGAGGAAGGGGCAGCAATGTTAGCTCCTGCCTGGCTGATAAATCATGAAAATATTTTCTCCTGTTTCTTTCTCGCTTTCAGTGGAAGTGCATATGCCATCACTACAGAGTTCTTGATTTCTTCCATAACAGAGCTGTCAAATTCATCTGGCACTCTGGGCCAGATCTGGACCGGGGGCTTATCGCTGAGGCTGCCAACAGTACACAAGTTAATGACAAGGCTGACAGAACCACTGTGGCAGTGAGAGTAGTCAAGGAGTTAACGCAGGCCACTATCACACACTACCTCTCATGTATTGTGGGAACCCTACGTCAGAGAAGTGACAGGGGTTGAGTGGCATTAAATCCTTGAATGCTGCTGCTGACACAGTGGTTCTGGCAGTCAAACAGAGAAGTCCTGCAAACCAGATCTGGAGGGGAGTCTGTGATCTAGTGTTAACTCTTTCATTGCTGGAGCCAAAGCAAGAAGCCCTGCGGGCCAGATGGCGCCTCTGCAGGTCAGACCTGGCCTTCAGGCCATATATTTGATTAGCCCACCCTATATCCTACTCCCTTGTATTACGGATTCCTCCAATACACTCAAAATGTTATCAAGTCATTGACCCACATTACAGAAGTAGAATTTTGATTATACTTCAGGATTTTTTTTTGTTGCTGATGCTAGAGAAGGCTCATTCACTGTCAGAATCATTTAAAAGCAAATATAGCCACCTTGCCAAAAAAGCACAAGAGAAGTCAAGAATTAGTATATCTAGTGATTTTCATTCTTCTGGAACAGCATTTCCCAACTTTTTCTGTCCCGTGGCACACTTACAGGGCCTTTTTCATCCCATG